AGTGAGAGAGAAAAGGATGGAATGGAGAGATATTGAGGGGCAAACATAGACAGGATGAGAGAAAGAGTCAAAAGGAGAAAAAGACAAATGGAGACAGAGACTGACATACTGGAGGAATTTTTTTCTGCCTTGGACCCTGACATAGAAAACCAGATGTGAATAGCACAGAATCCTATCATTCCAAAGTTGTTTAGGTGTTTAAAACAGGAATTTTAGGAAGCCCTTCTACACTTTCAAAATGTTTCCTTCATTGGCTATAAAAATTATTCAACTGCCAACATTCGGGATAATTTTTGTTTGATGACAAGCACATTCCTTTCTGTTTAGTCAAGACAGCACTAATATGGTACCTTATCTGTGGTAGGTTTCAAGGGCCTGGTTGTTGAGTGATTGCAAGTGCCTTATAAGGACAAATGTCTCCCCAACGTTGGTCACTTGTTTAGTTCTTGATGTCTGCCTGTGTCAGAACTGTCAGAAATCATGACCTTTGAAGCAATCAGCAGGCACCTGAAGATGAAAAGAAGAATGGCATTTAAAACGATCATTAAAGGGGAAAATACTTAGGAGGCAGGGATCAGGGCAAATGAAGTCACCTCTTTACATCTTGCTGAACACTCAGTTATCCACTTGCCGTTGGCTTTGAGTCTTCATAGGCTGCTGAAGGACTGGCACTTGGCTGCCTGATAAATTATCCAGCTCATCCCCAAATACAGTCTGCAGCAAGGCATTGCATTCATATGCTAGGCATCAGAATATAAGCTGCTTACGTGAGAACAAACCTCTCTCCTGAATTTGTTTGTTTTCCCTCCCTGGTAAGTAACACCTGTTTCTCACCTGTCTGAATGAGAACTTCCACAGTAGAATGATCATTTTCCCTCTGTGCTCATATGTGTTCTATATTGCTGCTCAAAACTGGTTTGCCACCAGTTTTATAATCAATTTCACATCTTTGTCTAAGAATCCACATCCAGAGTCCAGCAAAGGAATTGATATAAGTAATTTTCTCCTGCATGTAAAAGGATATAAATTCCTCTGGCCCCTCTCTGGGTAGATTTGCATTTTGTCTTTAATTGTGGCAGGATGGAGACCAACATTTATTGAGCACTATGCAAGCAAAAGTACTAGGACTTTCAAATATGTCATCTCGTTTTATCTTACAAATACCTTATGGGGTATAACTGATGCTGTTTAAAGATCTTCATCTTTCTATGATTTGCAAGAGTTAAGAAACCTGCTATGGACAGAAATGCCACAATCCAAGTTTTATGGTGAACAACCCTGAGATAGTTATTCTGAAATCTGTGGCTTTTCCTCCAGCCTCACATTGCCTCCAAAGTAGGGGTAGAGGATGGAGAGGGAGAGGGAGGGGGGGAAGGAGGGGGGGGGAGGAGGGGGGGGGAAACAGAGAGAGAGAGAGAGAGGAAGAAGAAAGGATAAGACGAAGATGGAGAAGAGGGAGGAGGAGGAGGAGGAGAAAGAGAGAGACAGAGAAAAGAGGAAGAAAGGAGGATAAGTAGAAGATGGAGAAGAAGAAGAGGGAGGAGGAGGAGAAAGAATGCCTCATTCCTCTGGTAGCACTAGAAAAACGAGGATGTTTGAGGCTAACACACTTTGAACACTGTGTTTACTGACCTCAATATGTATTGTTAGGGTGGGAATGTCTTTCAGGAGTTGGCATGAGGTCTATATAGCTAGATTAAAAATTGGAAGATTTGAAACCTGCCACTGACTTGTCATCTGCTGAATTTTTTCTCTAGGCCAGAAACCCAATGGATGGGTAAGAGCTCTTTCTAACTCTCTGTCTTTTCTTATTAAAGGAAAGGACGACAATGAAATTTTGCAGGAGAGGTATGGCATAGAGTCTCCTTTACAATTATTGACAAATGTTTCCAAATGAGCTAGCAGCCTCATTTCCCTACTGGTTAGGTAAGGATTAGCTCTGCTGAGTGATTGCTTTGTTTTGTTGAATGCAAGATGGAAGTTAGGGAAAGACTCACGGATTTTGTTGCATTCTGGTCCCTAGATAACCAGAATATTTGGATAGACCTGAAGTCTTTCCAATGCTGATGTATCAGTTTTCTATTAGTGCTCTAACAAGTTACCACAAGCTTAGTAGTGAAGGAAAACATCACAAATGTTATTCTATCAGAGCTCTGGCAGTAAGATGTGTAAAATGTATCTAACTGAGTCAAAACTGAAGAGGCCAGCATTTCTTTGAGATGTTCTAGAGCCTAATTTTGTTTTCTTGCTTTTTCTAGCTTGTAGAGGCCACTTGCATTCCTTAGCTCACGGCCCCTTCCTTCATCCTCTAAGCCAACAGCATAACGTCTTCAAATACCTCTCTGATTCTGACTCTTCTATGTCTTCTTCCACATTTAAGGACTCATTATTATACTGGGCCAACCCAGATAATCCAGGATTCGCTCCCCAGTTTAAAGTCAGCTGATTAGCAACCTTAATTCCATCTACAACCTTAATACCTCCTTGGCATGTACCATAACAGATTTACAGGTTCTGGAGATTAGGATGTGGACATCTTTGGGGGTTCTTATTCTGCTTACCACAGCTGACTAGCAGGTGTTGTGTTTTAAGACGATAGGGATACCGAAGAGGGAGCTAAAAACTTGGAGTACACCTAAAATCTCACTTCTTTTGCCATCTTTTGATAATAGCCTTCACAGTTTGTTATGGGATGAGTGTTATTGCCTAGGGTGGAAAGGGAGACAGCATTGGGAAAGAACTAGAAAAAGTACACTTTGAATATAATTTAAGATAATGTCACTTAAACTGCTTTGTGTTGACAGAAGACAATAGAGTATAAATAAATTTGCCTAAAGTATTTTCTTATAGCCAGTCTTGTCTTTACTTTCTCAACATGACACGGGATCACAAGAAATCCACAACCACCAAGGGGAAGACATCTAAATGACATTCAGTGGAAATGTGCCTTCCAGCGAGGTTGGAACAGAGAAGTCGGCAAGAGTGAGGGGAAAGGGAGGACAAGACAGAAACTGGAGATGTAGGAGAGGTGCAGGTTCTGCAGGGTCCTCAAGCCATATTAAGGTTGTTGCATTCTACATGGGGTACATGGTACATGAGCAGATCGTGCAGGTTTGTTACATAGGTATATACATGCCGTGATGGTTTGCTGCATCCATCCCCCAGTCATCTACATTTTGTATTTTTCCTAATGTTATCCCTCCCCAATCCCCCAACCCCCTGCTATCCCTCCCCTAACCCCTCCCACCTCCCAAAAGGCTCTGGTGTGTGATGTTCCATCCCCTGTGTCCATGTGTTCTCATTGTTCAACACCCATTTATGAGTGAGAACATGCAGTGTTTGGTTTCCTGTTCTTGTGTCAGTTTACTGAGAATGATGGTTTCCATCTTCATCCATGTCCCCGCAAAGGACATGAATGCATTCTTTTTTATAGCTGCATAGTATTCCATGGTGTATATGTACCACATTTTCTTTATCCAATCTATCACTGATGGACATTTGGGTTGGTTCCAGGTCTTTGCTATTGTAAATAGTGCCACGATGAACATGTGTGTGCATGTGTCTTTATAATAGAATGATTTATAGTCCTTTGGGTATATACCCAGTAATGGGATTGCTGGGTCAAATGGTATTTCTATTTCTAGGTCCTTGAGGAATCTCCACACTGGTTGAACTAATTTACACTCCCACCAACAGTGTAAAAGCGTTCCTATTTCTCTACATCCTCTCCAGCATCTGTTGTTTCCTGATTTTTTTAATGATCACCATTCTAACTGGAGTGAAATACTACCTCAATGTGGTTTTGATTCGCATTTCCCTAATGACCAGTGATGATTAGCATTTTTTCATATGTTTGTTGGCTGCACAAATAACTTCTTATGAAAAGTATCTGTTCATATCCTTTGCCCACTTTTTGATGGGGCTGTTTTTTTCTTGTAAATTTGTTTACATTCTTTGTAAATTCTGGATATTAGCCCTTTGTCAGATGGGTAGATAGCAAAATGTTTCCCCATTCTGTTGGTTGCCAGTTCACTCTGATAGTTTCTTTTGCTGTGCAGAAGCCCTTAAGTTTAATTAGATCCTATTTGTCTATTTTGGCTTTTGTTGCCATTGTTTTTGGTGTTTCAGTCTTGGAGTCTTTGCCTGTGCCTATGTCCTGAATTGTATTGCCTAGGTTTTCAATGATACACTCTAATCTTAAAGGTCATGGGAATCCTTTGAGAATTTTTAGACAGGGGAAGTCATGTTGAAGGTAGTTTTAGAAAAGGTCTCCAAGACTGCAGTGCAGAAAATGAATTGATACAATCCAGAATTTCTTAGGAACCCTCTATGTAATTGAAACAAATAAAAATGTGTGCATAGTAATAACTGTTCTAATGAGAGCATATGAACACAGGGATGGGAACAACACACACTGGGGCCTGTTGGGGGTGTGGGAGGGGAAGCATCAGGATAAATAGCTAATGCATATAGGCATTAATACCTAGGCGATGGATTGGCAGATGCATGAAACCACCATGGCATATGTTTATCTATGTAACAAACCTGCATGTCCTGCACATGTATTCTGGAACTTAAAATTAAATGAAATTAAATTTTAAAAAAATAATGAGTGTTATTTGAAGAACAGTCATTTGAGGAATACTATTCTTTATATCTTTTTATTCGAAAAGACCACCTCTCATCTGGAATTTAACAATGGCTGGCAAAGTCAGGTCTTCTAGTGGTTGCTGTGCCATGATTGATGCCTTGGAATACTCTCTACATTAACTTTTTGGGGCAATAACTTGACTGAAACACCTTTTTCCACAGCCTAGTCCTCAGTTCCACAGGTGCGAGTTTTCCGTTTTGTTATTGAACCAAGAAGTGCTGACTCTCAGTAACACGTGCCTCAATAATTTTTCTAGTTTTCTTACATACCAAAATATAAGGAAAAATAGGAGATGCAGATTAAAATTTGCACTTTCTGAAATAAAACATATATATACATTTTAAGTTCGGTACATGTGCAGGATGTGCAGGTTTGTTACATAGGTAAATGTGTGCCATGGTGGTTTGCTGCACCTGTCATCCCATTGTCTAGGTATTAAGCCCGGAATGCATTAGCTAAATTTTCTGATTCTCTTTCTCTCCCCACATCCCCGACAGGCCCCAGTTGTTTCTCTCCCTGTGTCTATGTTAAAACATATACCTTTTAATATGACTGCTAAAAATGATCATTTCAGGGTCTTTAATATTGTGAAGCATTCTTCACCTCCATCAGAGAGCAAGGAAGTATGAGCCCTGAGAACCTGAGCAGCGTGTCTGAGTTCCTCCTCCTGGGTCTCCCCATCCGGCCAGAGCAGCAGGCTGTGTTCTTCACCCTGTTCCTGGGCATGTACCTGACCACAGTGCTGGGGAACCTGCTCATCATCCTGCTCATCCGGCTGGACTCTCACCTCCACACCCCCATGTACTTCTTCCTTAGCCACTTGGCTCTCACTGACATCTCCTTTTCATCTGTCACTGTCCCTAAGATGCTGATGGACATGCAGACAAAGTACAAATCGATCCCCTATGAGGAGTGCATTTTTCAGATGTATTTTTTTGTATTTTTTACTGACCTGGACAGCTTCCTTATTACATCAATGGCGTATGACCGATATGTTGCCATATGTCACCCTCTCCACTACACTGCCATCATGAGGGAAGGGCTCTGTGCCTTCTTAGTGGTTATATCTTGGATTCTGTCTTGTGCCAGCTCCCTCTCTCACACCCTTCTGCTGACCCAGCTGTCTTTCTGTGATGCAAACACCATCCCCCACTTCTTCTGTGACCTTGCTGCCCTGCTCAAGCTGTCCTGCTCAGATAGCTTCCTCAATGAGCTGGTCATGTTCACAGTAGGAGTGGTGGTCATTACTCTGCCATTCATGTGTATTCTGGTATCATATGGCTACATTGGGGCCACTATCCTGAGGGTCCCTTCAACCAAAGGGATCCACAAAGCGTTGTCCACGTGTGGCTCCCATCTCTCTGTGGTGTCTCTGTATTATGGCTCAATATTTGGCCAGTACCTTTTCCCGACCGTAAGCAGTTCCATTGACAAGGATGTCATTGTGGCTCTAATGTACATGGTGGTCACACCCATGTTGAACCCCTTTATCTACAGCCTTAGGAACAGGACCATGAAAGAGGCCCTTGGGAAACTCTTCAGTAGAGCAAAGTTTTTCTCTTGGTGACATCTGACATTTTAAGCAATTCAAATCTCATTTTGGTTTATCTCATGTATTTGGTTTTCCATTTGAATATGTCTCAAAACCTTTTATATCTTGAAGCCCTAAGACAAATGTTAACATGTTGAATGTAACTGGTAAATATTTGTTGACCAGAATTCCATTCTCTTATTAACAATGTTATTCTTTATAAATAGTTTTTGATCAGTGAATGCTAAATTAATTTTATTTTTCTTTCTGCAACTTGGAGAAATGACATAACAATACAGCAGTATATAGTTTTGATATCGCTTATTTGAGGAGATTTTTGGAAACATATATGTTTTTGGCCCATAATCCTAGGCTTTAACACAACATAGAATTGAAAGAATTGGTGATATTATTTTACTACCCTCTATAAGGTAGACTGGGTGTGATCATTAGTGAAGTGATCAGACAACTCACAGAAGAGACAGTTTCAAGGCATTTCATAGTCTTTAATAAAATTTCACTGTGAATCTCTGTGTTAATTCAGTAGAAGATGGGCTAAAAATAAAAAATCTTCAGTAGATATGTATGTATTGATATGCATGAGAAATAGAAATGCAAACATAGTCACAACACATTATTACAGAAAAAGAAAGTGATGAAGCACTATAAAATACATTCCATTATGTAAACAGATATGTTTATGAATAAAAGTCATTTATTTCATTTTATTATTTGTTTACTTTTGAGTTGGAAGTTTGCTCTTTTGTGCAGGCTGGAGTGCAATGGCGTGGTCATGGCTCACTGCAACCTCTGCCTCCCAGGTTCAAGTGATTCTCCTACCTCAGCCTCCCGAGTAGATGGGATTACAGGCATGCACCACCACACCCATCTAATTTTGTATTTTTAGTAGAGACAGCATTGGTCAGGCTGTTCTTGAACTCCTGACCCCAGGTGATCCGCCTGCCTTGGCCTCCTAAAGTGCTGGGATTAGAGGTGTGAGCCACTGCATCCAGCCATTTTATATTATTTTGAAAATTTCAGCTATTGTTTTACATTCATAGGGTGTATATCCAGGTTTGTAACATGGGTATATTACATGATGCTGAGGTTTGAGTTAAAAATGATTTCATCACCCAGATAGTGAGCAGAGAACCCAATAGTTAGTTTTTCAACCTTTCTCTAGCTGTGTCCAATGTCTATTACTCTCATCTTTATGTTTAGCTCCCAATTAGAAGTGAGAACATGCACTATTTGTTTTTCTGTTTCTGTGTTAGTTTGCTTAGGATCATGGCCTCCAATTGCATCCATGTTGCTAAAAAAAACATGATTTCATTCTTTTTGATGGCTTCATAGTATTCCATGGTGTACTACATGTTTTTAACCCAGTCCACTGTTGATAAACACCTAAGTTGATTCCATGTGTTTGCTATTGTGAATAGTGAAAAAACCCTCTTAGAAGGATAAAAAATGAATCATGAAAGCATTTGAGATACTTTGACTTTCTCCTTCATTTCCATGTTTATATTATTTGTATTTCCATCATGAAGAGGAATTAATTTTATAAGCAGCAAACAGAAAAAGAATTTTCATTTCAGAGAAAAATTTCTATAGACATCTCAACCTAACACCTAACTAGGGGAAACCTGAATCCAGCATAGGAGGTCTTTCCCCATCTCCTTTTGGACTTCAATTCACAGGGCCTGACAATCTTCCTAAGAACAGAGATTCCTTAAAGTCTGCCCTTAGAGCCACTTGCTTCGGAATTATCTTGCTCTAGATCTCATGAATAAATATCTTTGCAGGTGGAGCTGGGACCTGAATCTTTAACAAACTCCCCAGGTGATTTTGATGAATATCCAAGTTTAGAGACCACTGCCCTAGGGCATCTGTCCTGGAGGGAGTAGGAGGAAAACCGAAGAATTAATGCATGTTTAATGCAAGTCTCTAACCACAAGCTTGGTGCCCTGTCCCCTCGAGTCCTCTCCCTAGTGGATAGAATAGAGTTGTTAAATTTCCATTTCTGAAGGCTGTAAATTGAGAAGAGTATGCTCCAGGTTCATGACTTTTTTTCTCTGATGTCAGTGACGTTTATGACCACAGAATTCGGAGGCTAACTCTGGTATCTTGGTCTCCTAGAAAGAAGCTGAGAAACCAGTCCATACTCCCAGGAATGACTTGAACATAAAGTTCAGAGCAGGACTGGGTATCCTTCATCAGTAGCGGGTGTGTGTGTGTACAGGTGCTCAGCATTTCTGTATGCTTTTGCTGGGAAGTCATTTTTTTATTCTCAGTTTCCAAAGACAAGGATGCAACAATCACCACTGGCCAGTGACTCTCATGTCTTTAGCTGCAGTTTGTGGGGAGCTGTGGGATAGGGCCAGCTGGCTACATAAATTGGTGGGCATATCCTAAAAATCCAAGCTAAAGGGTCTCATCTCAACATTTGTGTTCTAGATATTAGAGTGTGTGCTTATTTATTTAGTGAATGCAGTGTTAGAGAGCCCTCTCTAATATTTCTTTCCAAAGTCCCTGATCATTCCCTTCCGTTTAGGCAGCACAGCTGCTTTCACCTGAAAGTATCTTTGAAGGACACATTTAGCTAGAGAGCCTTGGGTCCTTTCTTCCTTTATGTAGCATCCATATTGCAGATCCTTATTAGACTCTGCTTGATAATTTCCTTCCTGTAATCCCTAGTGTATTCTTAAACCTTCATCAAAGGCAGCAAACTTTGAGCCCAGGAAACATCTACTACCCCAATTCCTTTTGCCTGGTTTGCACTGAAGGTAAGACACTTATGCTTTTTATTAATTTTCTTGTACAAGTTACTAACTACAATTCAGTATACAATGTTGAAAATAGCTGGCATAGTTTTCACATTCCAGGTTTTAACGGCAATGCTTTAAAATACCACCACTAAGTATGGTGCTTGCTGTCTCGTTTAGTTTAGTGAGTGTCTTAGTCGGTTGGCTGCTATAGCTGGGTGACTTTAAAGAGCAGACATTTATTTGTCACAGTTCTGGAGCCTGGGAAGTCTAAGATCAAGGTACCAGCAGATTCAGTTTCTGGTGTGGGTCCACTTTCTGGTTAGCAGATGGCTACCTTCCTGCTGTGTCCTCACATGGCAATGCCTGAGACAGGTTTCTTCCTATGACGGAAATAATCCCATTGATGAGGCTCTACCCTCATGACCTAATTAGGTTTCTCCTTTAAATATTTTTTGTAGCATTTACTTTTTTATGGCAGTGATATTGTGATCAATGGATATGTTTTTTTTCTCATCAACTTTATACATAATGAAAACTTTGGCTGCTTGTCTTTGATGGAATTTCCTTTGAGTATATGTTATTGAAACTTCATCCCTGTATGTTGCTTACTAATGAATTTTGAAGTCGAATTTTAAAAGTTCATCATGTTACAATTTGAAGGCTCAAGACTCGCCTGATGATTGTTTTTAAAAGTACAGACACAGAATAGAAATTGGGAAGATGTTATCTTACTATCCATCTGCTAATAGAGTCTGAGGCTCCCTCTTTACTGACTAGACATAGCTGGTCTCCTTTTCTATATCAGACTCTTTACTCTGTTGGCGAATTCTCTTATTTTGCATGATAAAACCATCTACTCTAAATCTTTTTTTTTTTTTTTTTGTAGGGACATAGCAATGTAGACTGAAATTGGCATATTCATTAGTAGAAAGGTTCTTATCCTTACCTGCCTGCTGTAAACCAATGTTTGTTTCTGCTTTCCTAGCTCCCTCTATTTGCAGCAGAGAGAAGACTAGCAGCATGAAGAGGGGGAACCAGAGCACCATATCTGAGTTCCTCCTCCTGGGTCTCCCCGTCCGGCCAGAGCAGCAGACCATGTTCTTTGCCCTGTTCCTGGGCATGTACCTGATCACGGTGCTTGGGAACCTGCTCATCATCCTGCTCATCCAGCTGGACTCTCACCTCCACACCCCCATGTACTTCTTTCTTAGCCACTTGGCTCTCACTGACATCTCCCTTTCATCTGTCACTGTCCCAAAGATGTTAATGAGCATGCACACTCAGGAGCAATCCATTCCTTATGCAGGGTGTGTAACTCAGATGTATTTTTTCATATTTTTCACTGATCTGGACAATTTCCTTCTCACCTCAATGGCATATGATCGGTACATGGCCATCTGTCACCCCCTCCGCTACACCACTGTCATGAAAGAGGGACT